GGAAATAAATCTCCAGAAAACCCCAGCGCTCAAGTAGGCTGCTGGGAAGGTGAACGAAATCCCATCATGCCCATAAATGTCTTCCTTTCTGGGGACTGAGATGCCATCTCTGGGCACTTACATGAGCATGAATAGCAGATTTAGCACTTGAGACAATTGAAGTTTCATAAAACGATGAGCTATTGGCCTTAAGACACCCTGTGAAGAGACCTATTGTGAACTGAGTTGTTATAACAACATGCTTAAAATCAAGTGGTGACCCAAGATTGAAGACCGGATACCCTAGAAAGTAAGTGTCTGATAGTGGCTCTCTTTTATATTTTGGTGGGAACAAGGAAAAGTACAGCCAGGGCAGTGCTGCCAATGCCCCAATGGAAAAGCAGAGGTCAACATCGAATTTGAAATTAAAAGTGTATGCAAAACTATTTCAGCAATACAGACCTTAAAGTAGATGACGGGGCCATTGGTGAAACATGTCTCCTGATAGCCTCACAACCAACAGCTTTCCCTCCGAACATGTTCCAGCTGTCTTTGACAACTTTGCAGTCACAGTTAGGGTTGGTAGAGAGCCCTAGACTCTCAGACTTTTTGATACTGCAGGGCAAGAGGATGCTGACAAATGACGGTCGCTGAGTTATCCACAAACAGAGGTATTTCTTGTCTGTTTTCAGTGGTCTCTCCATCCTCATTTGAAATTGTGAAGGAAAAGTGGGTACCTGAGATAACACACAACTGTCTGATGACTCCTCTCCTGCTTGTTGGAACCTACATGGATCTCAGAGAGGACCCCTTTACTGCTGAGAAACTTGCCAAGGACAGCCAGAAGCCTATCACCCCGGAGACTGCCGAAAAGCTGGCCCGGGACCTGAAGGCTGTCAAACATGCGGAGTGTTCTGCACTCACGTGGAAAGGCCTAAAGAATGTGGTTGCCGAAGCAATGTGAGCTGCCCTGGAGCCACCAGAACCGAAGAAGAGCCGGTGGCCATTTCTCCAGAGCCTTTCTGTACCGCCGGTGTCAGCGTCATACTAAAAAAGTGTTTACATCAAACTAAAGGTTAAAACTTAAAATTCATTTTTACAATAATGGCAGATGCCCTGCACCTACCCACATACACTTGTGTGACAAGACCCATAGATAAGGCCCCCTGCCTTCTCCCACTATTAGTTAATTTTGAGTAATTGCAATATAGTCAGAAAAGTGATCAGGACTAGTTTTTGTTTTGTCGTTTCAAGGAGAATCCTTTTTTTTTTAAGCAAGGCATGCTTATTGATGACTGTGTAACAGACTAATGTGAATATTTGGAGCTGCTCCTGGTTCTACTCTGAAGAGTAATGAGTAATCTGGGACATCTTAGTGTTTTGTG